TGACATTCAAAACATAAACAAACTAAAGCTGTAACGTTACACTAGCTTTACACCACCTCTCAAGGAGGTGTACAAAACGTGTAAATTACGTCATTAAAGTGTACTACACTTTCAAGAAGAACAGCGTGTAATGACGTAACTCAACGTCACTTTCGGCAAGAAAAACGTTAAAGTGTACACTTTACACTAAAGTGTATAAAGTGTATGCAAGAAAAACAGACCTATAGTTGTATGCTGTAAATTGTAAGAAATTGACCAATCACAATCGATTATTCTTGTGTAATTTGTCTGTGATTGGTCAATTTCTTACGATTTATAGCTTAAGACTGTATTGTGGAACAGGCCATAGAGAGTTATCCGGAAATGACATTCAGCGCCAAAACACCGGAAGAGGATAGTGAGAGAGAGCAGTAAAACAGTCCCCACTTTTTCCTTGTCTTAACTTTCAGTCGTCTCGTAGAGATCAGTTCGAGTTGTTGGAATTTCATATTAAGTGAGGTGAGACAAGATAAGCTAGTGCTAACCACAGGTAAGCACGGTAAGCATGTCGCACTTGAGGTGCATAGTTTTGAAATTGTAATGGGTTTAGGTTAGGTAAATTTTAGGATTACAAATCGCCCTTTTCGTTGGGTCGGTATGAAAATGGCGAATTGAGCATCTAATGTTATTCGCCCATATGCTAACGTCTATTAAAGTTGATGTAATTCGTTGTATTTATGTTGGTTGATCCAAAAATTAAGACTAAGACATTAATGTGAAGTGTTTTTTTTTACGTCATCATTAATACAATGCCACGTACGGGTAACATTCAGAATGCAAAACGAATCAATAATTTTTCATGGCGTCATTTCTGTGATGGAAATAATTTTATTGTCGCGGTCGCGGTCAATAAACCAAAATGGCGGAAAAAACTAAATGAGAGTATGAGAATATTGATGCTGTGGAAAATTTGAGAACAAAGTTTTAACTTGGATGTATTTTATTGCAAATTTTGCGATATTAAGTTACAATATAAAAAAGTAATAAAATTGAAAAGCAAGTTATATAGTATATAAATGACAGTTTTTATCTTCACAAATAATAAATAAATTAGATATATTTGTGTATTTCATTGGTTAGGCATGATAATTGTATCTACTAGATGTTTTTCAGAAAAATTATTGTGTTGTAACTGTTATATTGTTATCTATCAACTAATATTCTTTTTATCAATATATAGATATATATTTTTTTCTGTTAATTATAGTGTAACATGTCTCGCTATCGTGAATGGGATCTCTCTTGCAAAGTTTATGTTGGCAACTTAGGGAGTAGTGCCAGCAAACATGAAATTGAGAGTGCATTTAGTAAGTATGGTCCTCTAAGAAATGTATGGGTTGCAAGAAATCCCCCAGGTTTCGCATTTGTGGAGTTTGAAGATCCAAGAGATGCTGAAGATGCTGTACGAGGATTAGATGGAACGTAAGTTGAAGAATTATTAATTCTTTATATTTTGAAAACCAAAATCTTAAAAACCATTTTTTGAGAAAAGAAAATATATAAATATCATGTTTTATGTCTTTTTAGACGATGCTGTGGTACTCGAGTACGAGTAGAGATGTCTTCAGGAAGAAGTCGTCGAGGTGGAGGAGGTCGCAGACCAGGTCCTAGATATTCCAGGTAAGAGAGTCCTCGCGATTGTGTTTCATAAACGATCACAAATTTCAGTGGGGGGAAAAAAAACCGTTAGAGCTACACGCAACAAAGATGGCTAAACCTTGTCAACGTAGGTATTTATGAGATAGAGAAGAGCCTTTCTCTTGTCTTAAGAGTAAAAAGGTGCTCTTATCAGAAAGAAACAATGCACGGTTTTTTCAGTGAACACTTTCGTGTACATCACCGCGAGATTCGATATTTTTCCTTCCATATTCCATTTTTATGTAAGAGAGTTATATATCTCATCTCTTTCATTTTTGTGTTATTGTGTTTCTGGCTAATCCTCCTCGTTCATAAGTTCACATTTGGGAATATTGAGTTGTTAAGTTGTGCTGCACAATGCCTTTTGTAATAATTGACACATTTCTAGATCTAGATGTTAAATTTATGCATGAGTATGGTGGAAGGTTAAGCGCGAGGATTAGCCAGATCGCGGCTAAATCCATACTGCATGATTGAATCGCGCGATCAGGGAATTTTGAATGTATTATTCTAGTTTTAATATACTTTCTCTATAAGACAGAAGATTGCAAGAGACAAGTTTAACGTGAAACTTACGGGTTTTTTTATAATTAAAAATATTCAGTGGATATTAAAAAATTTTACTTCTGAATAGTAATACTGAATATATTATTGCGATAACATTAACTTGCAAATGAAATTTGTTATAGATTGTGTTATGAATAATACACTATATTTATTTTTCTATGTTTATGAAGAGTTTCTTGCAGTCTTATCTTAACACACCTGACAAGAAGTCAGACATTTTATATCACATCACTCATTTTTTAGTGCCTATTTTCTTCTATATGTCTTTCATTAAAATGCCTTTATCCATATGCTTTAGCAAACAATCGGATTTACGTACGATATATCGGTTTTTTTTTTTTTTTGACAAATTTGTAGGTCCAAGTCGCGCAGTCCTCGTAGGAAATCTGTGGGTCATTACCCAAGGTAAGACTTTCCTATTCCTCTTAGTTTCCCGTCCTCACTATTTACAGAAATCCATTTTTGTTTCATTTTTCTCTTTCTCCTTCCCCTTGCTGCTGAAATTGTGACTGCAATTTTCAGGTACTACTAAGCAATTGAAAATCAATATGTGACGCATGGCGATCGTCTACGAACACTTGGCAGATATACATTAGTTTTTTTTTTAATTGTTTATAGATCCTGGTCGAGAAGCCCACGGAGGTCGCCGATTAGCCGCTATTCCAGGTAATTTTCTTACGCTGTTCGATTAACTTCGTATATTTCGATTCGCGAAAGTTTTCAGAACCTACAGCCCTGACTAAACAAGATGACAGTTAGTAAGTATACGTATTCTGCGAGTTTGCATTCGTTATACATGTAAACACACATACACACATACACATACATATATACTATATTTGTATTGCACGTATTTTTGTTGATATATGACGGGATATATGGTTGTTGTGTAACTACTAGAGTCAGTGTGAAAACATCTGCAGATGGAGAACCATGACAGAAACCAATTAACTGTTAAAACTTTGTGTTCAATTAAAACAAATTTATATATTTCTTTTAATTGGTTTCATGATTCATTGTCCTTCATGCAAGGGATTTGTGACTAGAAACTTAAGAGATGTCTTAGAACATAATTTATCATATATTGACAAAGTATGGGCATTCGAGCGGCGATAAATAATCTTTCATCTTTCAAAAATTGATACGGAAAAAAATAAAAGTTATGATGGTGAACAAGAACGAGGAGGAATTACAATTAATGAGAGTAACAGTGGTAAAGAAAAAGATTTAAAATTTTAAGAATGTGTTTAGCGCATGTTTTTGATTTGTTTTTCATGTAAAGTAGACTTATGTAAAATTAAGTATATAATATGTTTGAGTATATAATAAAATTATATATATTTTATTTAGCATCGTTATGACGTGATGACAGTTGAAACAATATGAAATTTATCATTCGATATAAATGGCATTAAGAAAGCTCAGATTCTTATTAGCAATAATAAAAAGATCAGTATCTCTTTAAAATTAAAATAGTTGAATCAATTTCTTTTTTCTAGACATTTTCTAATCAATATCAATATAACATAGAAATGTAAATGGCTTATACTCAGTTTAATTGAACTAAATAATAAATTATTCGCGCGCTTTTTTGTCATTTATCTTCGCACATACGTACACCGTAATGTGAATATAAGCTACAATTCTAATTTTAATCAATGATTAATTAATATTATTTTACTAAGTTATAAGGTTGCACTCTTGATAAAGAAAATCGATATGTGCTTGGTTTGTCGCGATGAGAATGTAATATCTCCCGAAGCAATATACATTCATCACATATAGCTCCAAGTCAATTAGCACGAGGCACGGAGAGGTCCTCTCTTCTTTTTTTTTGTATGCATTTGAGTGGGCAGTCTAGGATGAAGAAAAATACAGAAATCGATCGGTAAAAACGGCGAAAAGCGAGTTAAATTGTTGTCTCTTTGATTTGAAAAGTCTTTTCTGAAATAAAAAAAAAACTAACAAGAAAAAATACGCGATATAGTGGCCAAGAGTACAATAACGTTGATTATTATATTGCTAAAACTGACGTTTACAGATTCAACCTGTGTCAACTCCTAGTTCTGCTCGTCTTCCCGCCACTACTACTGCTACTACTTCTACTACTACTACTACTACTACAGCCACCGTGAAAAAACGTATATATATGTATACATGTACATGTATATGTATATATATACGAAAAAAGCAAATCGTCAATCTCGCAATCGTCGTCGATCGAAAAAAATATGCCTGCCTGCCCACTAACTTCCCAACCACCATCAGTCACCACCGAATTTATAGGAAGTCGTCCGTACGTCGGTCACTCCACTTCACACCATGCCACGCTACGTCGCTCGTCGATGATGCGTTGTGCGTTGTGGTGTTGCAACGCACACACAGCACACAACCGGCGCAACAACGAAAAACAACAGTTTGCGTGCGCAGTCATCGTTGCCGGAGTATCGCCAGAATGCCACCTTCAAAAACAAAAAACGAAACAAAAAAAACGAAAGAAACCAAAAAAAACAGTTGTCTTTTTCGTTGCAGTCCCTCCGTCTGTCGTCGTTGCACCGCAAAAAAACTATCTTGAACAAAAAATAATATTTAAAAAAATATCGTATCGTCGGTACTACGAGATTATCCCCTTCGATCACCACTTCTACTTTTCCACCACTACCACTACCACCACTACCACCACTACCACCACCACTACCACCAACCACCACCAATCAATCAGTCGACAGGGTGATCCACCTTCTTCGACTCGTCGTCTCAGCTTTAGCCCGGGGAACCCACTTCGGCAACGAGTTATCTGCCAAAAAAAAAACCACTACTCACAACCGGCCACCGCCATCGTGAGTGAATTAAACGCGATGCCAAAATATGTGTTATGTAATTCCGTCCACGGCGCGTCTCCGACCGTCTTCTCCGACTGTTCGTCGTTTTGAGACCGACGTATCTACTCTGCTCTACCGCGCTACTGCTACTACTAGTACTACTGCTACTGCCACTTCTACTACTACTACCACTACTGCTACTGCTACTCGTCAACCATCACTTAGAGACGTGTGTTTATCTACGACCACGACGACTGAGCTCGCGAGAGTTGCCGCCGAGAAATCTTCTCGACCTTCGACTCCTTCCAGCGCAAAAAAAAAGCGATCACCACCTACTACACACCATCCCACCACCACCCACCAACTACCACCACCACTACATGTTCACATTGTCTGGTATTTCACAGATTTTTCAAAGATTTTTTCTCTTTTTCTATCTCTTTCTAGTTGTTTAATTTCTATGTGTTCTTTATTGTTTCTTTTTTTTATTGTAACGGTTTTGAGTGAGGAGTTCTGTTAGATTCAATAAAAACTTATTTGATCTTAACTTAACAAATCAAATTATTAACTGTTTTCAATCAAATTTTTAAAATCAAATTCAATAACTGATCGAATCGCAGAACTCTTGACTGACATAATTATATATCAAAAAAATTATAACATTTACTGATAAAGGATTTAATAGTTTTCAATACTAAAGTTAATCCGCAACTTTCTTTGGTTTCGCATTCGATTGATGAACCGTCATTTTGTATTAATTCATTATTAATCATATCTAACTATATAGTTTTATATATCATCCCTTTAGGAAAAAAATAGGAATTAGATGATCCTAATTCTCTTTGTGCAGTTGCCTGCAATGATTGTTCGTATCTGTGTTTTATTCCGTTGCTTCATCCCGTTTTGAATAAAATTTAATATTGGAACTTGTCAAACTTTTGTCTATTCTCAATAATAAATAAGCTATAGTCGCGGAGTTAAAAATTAATTATTTAGAAAACTGAAAGGAATAATTTATAAATTTATTAATTATAAATTGTTAACAATTAATATATAGTTCTTTTTCATCAATTTAATCATTTAAGTATTACATAATACTTGATTTAAAAAAAAAAAACAGTAAGGAATATACAATAATTATATTGTGCAATTAATAGTATCCTGAATAAATTTATACATATGTTTAATAATTTTATTAACATTGTTATTGTAATATTTTAAATAACATCCATTAGTTAATATAATTATCTATTTTGCACTTATGACAATTTTCGAGACGGGATAGAGAAACGTGTGTTAATAATTTTGTTTGCTATCTGGTAATAAAATAGTACTAAACTGTCGTAATCTTTTAGATCCAGATCACGCAGTCCCCGTAGAAGATCATTGACCCGGAGCCGCAGCCGAGACCGCCGTTCACGTTCGGATTCCCGTGACAGACGGTATTAATCTAATAACACCGTTAATTAAAACAATGAGAGAAAGGAAAAATAAAGCAGAAGGACTTCGAGCAATAAATTAAAAGCAAACCAGTTAAAGATAAAAAGAGAGAGTACACTCGACCAAGTAACGCTTCTCCAAGTGGAAAGTGGTTTATTTTGTATAAAATTTGATCGTAAGATTGTTGATATGTACAAAAACTTAAAAATAAAAAATACAAAAGTATTACATGACATGTTCAATCTAAATTCATCGCGGAGCAAACAGCGTCCTCTCTCGCAAAAAAGTGACAAAAAAAGGAAGTACTTTGTTTTTCTAAGCTTTGTATTCTTTATCTAATTGCAGTTAGATGCTAAGAGTTGAAGAGAAAGAGAGATCGAAAAAACGGTTCGACTTTGTATGCCGGATGGAAGACAAAGAGAAAAAAGTGTGGCAACAGAGTGCGAGAGACAATTTTGTATGTAAATAATAAAAATCGTTTGTTAACACCACACACATGCACATATAAACACATAAACACACATACCGGATGTTTGCAGTATGAATAATAGACAGGGTGATTCTTCATAAAAAAAAATCAGATATATAATACATAAAATAACACATAATATAATATAATTTAAAAATTATGATAAAAAATCTAAAATCTCTCTAATTTTCTTATGAAGATTAACTCTATTCGCTAAAATTACATACTGCAAAACCACCTTATATGTGTAATACATCTTATATGGTCAGCAACGACATTCGTAACATGATACTTGCAATTGTAATAACCACTGATAGAACTGCGAGATAAAGCAAGATAAAAGACATTTTAATGAATTTTTCAAATTATAACATATTGTGAGTGGTTTTAGTATTTAAGCCTTCTGATGTTTCATTAGTATAGGCAAAACAAATACATATACATTGCAACGCAGACAAATTATACTTCTGCATATCGGTGGTCATTATATTAATCTATATATGCAAATAATTTAATTAATAATTTGTCTGAAATCATATATGGTACTTATAGATTGAAAACTAAGAACAACATTAATGCTTTTTATCTGTAAGTAATAAGTGTTAGATTATTATTCTGGATGACTTATTATGCCTAAGGAATGGAGAAATACATGTGAGCTAATATCGGATTGAAGACACGAAAAGGTAATAAAAGTGGTGTTAGCATAATACAATGTCGTCCGTTTATGGCTACTTTTGCTTGATGTATTTTGTATTCTGTTTAGAACTTAAGGCAAATAAAATGGATCTTGTAATGACAGAATACTTTTGAAATAATTTTTCTCAACATATTGCAAGATAATTGTGTAGATATTCATCTTTAGTTCTTCGCTTCAGATTCACTAAGTTACGGACTGTTGCTCAAGTTAGTCTTACTCAATTTTGTAGAATTTGTGTCACTCCAATCTCTTCTTAATTAATTAATGTAAGCTGTATTACCTAAAGCTAGGGCACATAGTCTAACGCCTTGCTGACAAACGTGGTAATCTCTGATAGGTAATGCTAACGTCTCGTCAAGTATCTCTAAGATCTTTAGGTAAGCTTTCAGAGCCTGTTCATTTTGGCCCTCCTCAAGATTTGTAGACGCAACTTTGAAGAGCGCGTCCGTGTCCTGCAAAGCTTTCAAACCTTTTAGAATATTTGTACTTTTGCCACATTTTGCACATCCGATCATGAACTCGTTCGTATCACTTCTGACCAATAACACGTTGCCGCAGGACGGTCCTGTTTCACATTTAAATCTGGAAAAATAAAATATAATACAAATAACATATGCTTGTAAGATTAATTTAAAATATATTTTTATCATTTGTATTAGATTTTACAACTTGAGAGAAAAATAAAAACTTATCAAATTTTATTAATTTCTTCAGATTATTTATAACGTTACCTGAGTATTGTTGGATCTAACTCTTCAAGAAGCGGCCAATGTCCTGAACACGCTTCGCAATTGCAATCAAACCAATATTGCACCCTCAATTTACGTTTTCGTTCATTCTCAGGTGTAATTGTGAAAATAGGACCGTAATTTTCGGAGATATCTTCACCCGCGCTAATCGTGCGAACAGCTCGAACGACCATAGTGGTGCCGATAAAATATCTATTATTCAATAAAATATAAAAATTATGCGCTATAAAGAGTTTACTAATACAAAGTTTTAATTAAATATTTACCTTACTACACTAGGATTGCACGAGTGATTCAGCATCGCTACCGTAGGATAAACTCCACCGCCTATAAACACACTTTTAGCTTTGGCGAGTGTTGTTTCTCCTCTTGGTCTTATTAATTCTGAGATCTGAGACAAAAAAACTTCAATTATTCGATTCATTATAAATTGAATTGACTATCAGAAATCTACGTTTTATAAAGTAATAGTATAACGCTCGTATTGTAAATACAAATTAAAATATAGAGATCAAATTCGAGCCAAATAAAGTTTTTAACGGAAAAGAAAGTACAATATTTTAACTAACATAAAGACTCGCAAAATATTTTGACTCTAACTGGAATCTTCTTCAGTTGCAAAATACAATAATTAAAAAGATAATAATTAGTATAATATAGAAGTCAAATATAGATAGATGTCAAAAAACAAAGAGCAGTCGCAGTGTAAAATAAGTTAAAAGTGGCGGTTGATGGTCATTCATATAAAAAAGCGTGTTAAATCCGGAACATAATTAGTTTACGTTTTATATTAAATTGCAACATTTGCACGTACTTCATGTGAATTAAATTGTAGTAACTGCAAATTATGTAACAGCAACTCAGCAATGAATAATTCCTCATTGGACAATTTGCTCTCTACTGAATCGATAGTTTTCACATTATCCGGTATGTAGTGTCCGATTTTTAACAGTCTTAATAACCAAGCCGCCATGTAAGCTCTATGAAAAATATCTTCGGCCAATCTCTTGTCTTCGTGAGTAACTGCACACAAAATATATTTCTCAAAGTTACTGTTATATACAAATGAAAAATCAATTATATATAGGCTATTGTTTGCAATTACACACAATATTTCTAAATTATTCACCTAAATTGTTAAAAGCCATGTAATCGTCTCCTCGATACGGATTTTCCGCAGAGATCTTTGATACATTTCCGGGATTCTTGAGCCGTTCCTTTAGCTTCATGACTTCCTCGAAAGATTTCTGCGTGATCGCTCTTAAGGCTAAGAAGCACGTCACCGAAGCTCCTGAATGCCACAGTGCTTGCAGCAGCTTGCACTCACGCTGATGTACCTCGGCGTTTGCATCTCTGCAACGACAACTGCAGTACGCGATGCAACTACAGCTGCAAGCTGATGGTATCGGAACAAATATTCTTGCAAAGCACAAGTTGCAATGCGTGAGTCTGAAAATTAATTCATATAGAGTATGATTTTTTTGAAATTATTATTCTCTCTGCATATACGAAGTATTCCAAAATTTGCGGAAAAAACTATTATGGCGGTACCTACGACCCGAGCGCGGATTTTATTACCTACCAGTTAAACTATATATATTTGAGCGATGATTTACCTGTACTCTGCCAAGAGAAACGCGCAGTGTGGCCGTTCTATGATCAAAATTTCTCCAGGTGTAATTTTTCTGGTCGCAACAGCGTGTCTACCTATGGTTCCTCCATCATCTTTGATCTCTACCGCCTTGCTGCAGGCAGGATACAAAGGATTCCTCTTTTTTTCAGGAATAAATTTATCGCGATTGTCCTCGGATTTAAACTTTTGTTTGCAATTTCTACGCGGAGAATTTTCCAGCGTAGCTTTGTTTAGCTGTTTGCCTTTCTCCATCACGGCAAGCATCATCCTGATGTCCGCTTCAATCTTCTGCTTGCGTTCCAACGATATCCTAGCGTTGTCTAAAGCCTGAAGAGCACTTCTAAACGCTTCCACCGCCTCGTCATGTCTTTTCATACCTAATAAACATCTTGCTCGCCGTTCCTCAAGTTTGTAAAATAAATCTTTTGGGTAACCAAGTCGCGAAGCCTCCTTGATGTCCTTCAACGCACATTCGTGACGCTCCAGATGATATAGCGTGGCCGAACGATTTGCTAAGATTACACTTAATTCTAAACAATTAGACCTGCACTCAGAATCAGTTCAGATAATTGTGCGTTAAAAATTGTACGTACGCTAATGCGTGCAATTTTAAAACAAATTAAAATATTAAAAAGTTTTTAACAAATTAAAATATTTAAAAAATTACGTGTTTTAACATTGCAGAGTTCTATTTTATTATGTATTCTTTCTAAGTACGTGTATTAAAAACTTGTGTGTGTTAAATTATTTAAAATAATTTGATGAAACGTAAATGAATATTTACCTGTCGACGGTGCTAAAAGGACCGCACTTGAATACGTCTCTAGAGCTTTTGTGAATTCGTTGCGACCAAAAGCTTTGTTTCCGACTTCTTTTAATCGAATAGCACCATCGCGATCTTTAATCATAGGTTTTTCTACATTCACCGATAGCTGATAAGCTTCGGGATAACTTAGAATGAAAGCCACCATCGCGGCATTAGATTCAAGAGCGGCGAATTTCTTGAAGTCCTGCTGACGAATTGCTTTTCGCAATGCTAGTAAATTCGAGCGGAAGAATCCGCCGATTTCCAGGTCCGACTCAGTTTTTGACATTTTTAATTTAAGTGTGTACTTTATTACATAAATGCTTAATAGAACAACTGAGAATGGATATTAATTTGATTTGTTGAAATTGAAGAACACACATCAACTGGCACATTGCTAGTCTATGTCTCGAAGGGTACTGACTTCTTGGCTTTGGCGAGAACTATGTGCGCCTATTTTGGTGCGCTCTATTTTAAAGTCATTGGCTTTAATACGAGAGTATTATTCATTCGACATCACGCAGACAAAATAGAGACAAGTAGATAAGGAAATGTATAAAAAGAATAAACAGGAAGAGTTTGCGGAAATGAAAACTTTTGCATGCGGACAGCAATTTTGATGACAAAATGTACTGCAAAATATTTATTATTGTATTGTATTTAATTTTCAGATTTATTGCGCACAAAGTGCGCTATACACGAGGTAAAGTTAAACTTGATTACGTAATATACTAAAGTAAACTAGTTTACATTATGTACAAAAATCTGACTGATGTACAAAATAAGATACGTAGAATTTACGTGAAACAGTGTCGAGTAATAATAAGTCCCGTAATAATAAGTTATAATCTCGAATTTCGTTGATATCGTATAACAATCTTTAGTCAATAAAAGCTGAAAAATATTTTTCTTATTTGCGCGCTTCTCAGAAAGTATCTTTAAAATTGTAAGAATTTTTGAAAATATTTATATTAGGGAAGAAGTATAAATATCAGATCGGAGTTGTAACATATTGAGTTCTCAGACATGTTGACGAAAATGTATTCTTTTAACATTTATGTTTGAATAATGCATGTTTATATATATACAAAGTAAGTCTGATAAACTATTATTCTTTCAATATTTACATTCTTTAATTATTTTTGTTTAACAATTAAACCTGTCCATATTTACACTCCTTCCCTTAATAGATATAATAATTTACAAGTTGTTTTTTATATGTTACATTTGATATTCTACAATAACGATACATAGTTTTGCTTATTGCGTTTTTCATTAAACCTTATTATTTAAGACATCTTAAACATTAATATTAAAAGATGATATAATTGAGTGAATGGTTCGACAAGATGATTTCAAGAGAGAAAGTTAAATATATATTAAGAAAAGACAAAATATCGCGTTTAAAATTACGTAGAGTAGTTTTCAAAGTATCTTTATATAAGAGAATTTTTTTTCTGAAATATTTACTTCCTACTATTTACATTCGAGAGTGATTTTTGTTCAGTTCAGGAAATTATTGTCAGGCTTTATCACGATGACCAAATATCGTTTTTAGAAATCGTATGAGCCCTCGTCATCCTCTCGATTACTCCTCAGACCCATTCTATAAACAACTCCGGCCATACCGCCACCGACAAGCGGACCTACCCAGTACACCCACCAGTTCGAAAACTCGCCCCTTACTACATCCGGACCTAGGGTACGAGCGGGGTTCATGCTACTGCCAGTGAGAGGCACCGCCGCCATGTGGGCGGCCGAGATTGTCAGACCGATCGCCAGTGGGGCCCAGCCTTTTACATCGGTCCGCTTCGGATCTGTAACCGCGTGCACTACCAGCACGAGCAGAAACGTGATAATACCCTCCATCACGACGCCCTGGCCCGCGGTTATGCCGGCGCCTAGCGTGGTAGAACCCAAGCTGTTCGCAGTCTCTATTTCTGTGGGTAACATTAGCTGAACAGAAGACGATATTTCGATTAGACAAGATAGTAATCTACAGATTCTGTTTTATAGTGTTAAATTTTATAAAATTGTACAAAGTTCTTCCATACTCTACATTTTTTTATAATGTTAATTCAATATTATTATACTACGCGAATAATCGTTCTAAGATTGAAAATTTATAATACGGTTGATTTGCCGAAATTAATTTTGTCGTAAAGGATACGGCAAAATACCATTATCCAAGCGTCGTAAGCACGCACGCACGCACGTGCACACATTATCGCGCGTAATCCAGCCACAACCAGTTTCTGATATAACGAGTGTGAGTACGTATGACCGACGACAAAAACGACGACGACGACAACGGTGGGGAGACCGGACCTTGACCTTGCGCAACAACGAATTAATTGATACGAGCAAGACGGAGCACTTTTGGAACCTCCCGCAAATCGAAATGACGGGCTATCACCGATCAATTTCACACTTCGGCCGGACTATCACTGTGATTACACGTGTGAAGACCATAAACGCGTTTAAATAAAAATATAGAATTTGAGACGTACTGCTGACCTTCTCAATGTATTTCATTTGTGCAAGAATATTGCAAAAAACATTAAGCATGAAGTAAAAAAAATATTTCAGATTAATAAATACAAGTTCAAGTACCTTGAGAACAGCGGATCCCGCAATAGCACCGCAACATTGACAGATAATATAACTGACGGTCTTGAGGAAGGAGCAATTTCCGCTGAGCATCAAGCCAAATGACACGGCCGGATTTACGTGGCATCCGGAGATCGGACCTAAAACCTATACAGAAATATTATAACATGTTATTTCTAACATATTAGTATACATATAAAATATAATTTTATAAATACAACAATTGTGCGCTTCTCTAATAAACTTGTGCTTGTCAATAAAATTTGAATTGTGAGAAAATTTCTGAAGCTCATTTCACAATCGCAATTCCACGCCCGTTACAGAGAAACGAAATTTGTTTCTCAGATTTATCTCGAATAGTTTCTCAACGTCACTGTTTTGACAATCTCGTAGCTTGTAACGCCTGCTTGCAAATTCCCTTTACGTGCCCAGCCATGTAATATTACATAAAGATCACAGGATATAATTCTAAATGATTGGAGACTTTTTGCAGATGAATGAATAGTCTATTTGCATGTGTGAGATGAAACAAATTTAAAGTCATTAAAAAAATTTAAGAGCTAATACGAGCTAATATTATGCAGGGTAGTTGTAATTAAACAATTAGGTTTTTAGAAGCTAAAATAAATGAAAATTTCAAGTCTTTAATTTTATGCGAATGCGAAGACATATCCTGATCTTGGAATCATTCAGCGAGACGTCGCAGACTTCATGGCGGTATTGGACTCGTCTAGGTCCCCCTTGGGCCTCGTTGCTCCGACGCACGCGGCCCAGTTCTCATGCACGCCAGCAAGGTCTCGGCTTGCCGTAGGCGATTGGCACACATATGCGCCGACCAAGATTACGCAAGTGCTCTTTCTCTTTCTTTCTTTCTTTCTTTCTCTCTCTCTTTCTCTTTTTTGTTCCTTTGTCTTTCCCGATCCTCGTTTCTAATAATTCGCGATTTGCAAAGTGTCAATGAGTGAATCTCGAATGAAATTCGAAATCCAACTTTGTCTAAAATTGTGAAGAAATTTGTCGAACCTTTAGTTTTTAAATGAAAAATAAGTTACTGTATCATGTGTGGTGTACTGAATCATCAACTTTAATTTTGACGATACGGTCCTTTTGTATGATGAGAGATTTTTTTAACAAAAAAGATTCTGCAGAATCGGCTCGCAATTGCAACCGGCAAGGATCGACGATCGAGAAAGACAGAGATTCCAGAGTGTGGGGTCCTGGAGGACCGAGTAAAGTGTGGCCTTGCGCCCGAGTTGCCAGGTGAAATAAAAAAATCTTCGTGCTGCGCGCACGGCTTTAATTGACACGTGTTGTCTGGACTCGACGGAATATGTGCAAAGCGCACCGTTTAAAGCACACTCTAAAGGGGAAAGTTATACCACTTTCCGCGACTCATCGGCCTTGCGCGTTCGTAACGTTTGTTCCGAGAAAAGCAATAAATGGACTCCTGCATGACGCCCGCGCGCAAAATCTGTGCGTATCTCGCCGAGCCTCATTTCGGAGCCTCATTTGTGCACCTATCTGGAGAAGATCGCAAAATTTTGCGAGACTCGTATTTTTTGCTAAATATAGCACTTTAAATGTCAGCTGTATGAGGTCTATACACAATCTACGTTATTTAGTTATAAATTTTATATACAATTACTTTCCAACAGAAAATATGCATTTTTTTTCACTTTTTTCGTGCATTTAAACGATAGAGATTAAACAAAAATCGAAATTAATTTCCAATATTCATTCCGGTCCGGTACATAGACTGTATGCTTCGAATTATCTCGCAGTCTCGCGCCCTCAGGGTCTTACGACCCACAGCCCGCGGCCATATTTCACGCATATGCTTGTGCATAAAAAGCACGCAGGATCGGATTCGAAGTGCTGAGAACATTTTGTGTTTTAGAATCTATAATTAAAAAATTATATTAGATATATTACTAATATAGTAAATATATTACTGTAATGTAATTAAACACAATATGTAAAAGCGGAATTAAATATATAATTATGTGTATCATATATACATTTTTTATGTAAGGCATCTTTAATGATCTAAAAGGTTTTTACAACAGTTTGATTTTTTTCTTAACATACAGGACACAACGGAAAAAGAAAATGAATATTTTCATGCAAGACTTTTAGTTAAAAACAAAAAAAAATTAAATCCGAACCTGAGAATACACGTCTACTGTACACGTGCCGCGCTCCTTTTTTGTGCGAACGAGCAGTGCACGTGTGCACTCAAACTTCAAATTAGCGGAGAACAGGTGCAATCGCGCACGGGAAAATCGTGCATGCACGATATATGTATCGTCCTAGAATTTATCCGAATAAGATAAGCAAAGATCGATTGCTTTGAATCATTTTTCTAATTTGTAAACTAGAATAAATAATAATACATAAAACTAAAAGGCCCATCAATTTCTAGGACTTTAATCAATCTTTCTCTCATGCTTGCCTACATAAAGACTTAATTGGGCTGTGTGACGCATATGAACTGAGACACAGGACAATGATCTTTCGTTTGTGAGCCCTGCTTGCGCAACATGTAGCACAGCGTACAAGAGGGAGCGGCTCTCTTCTTGAAACCCGAAAAGGCAAGATAACTCTAATGTTAGTTACTTTTTACAGCAGGAAAAAAATTATTTTATCTTGTATAATTTTCCAAATGTATTAAACATTTAGAGAATTGAAAAAAAAGAAAAGCGAGTATAAAAAGTTTACTTAAAAGAAAAGTGACATAAGCTCCTTAAACTTAAGAGAAAATAAAGTATCAATACTCAGATGTGTGTTGAAAACCTTGGCCCGGCTCTAAAATCAATATTTGCGGATACGCGAGTTTCTTGAAAAATTTTTCGGAAAGAAAACAATGCGTTGTGCCACAGACATATATTACACAAAGTCGACCAGAATGTAAATTCGCGAGAAGAGACACAAAACAACGCTCGAAAGAAATAACATAAATAGCAGTCATCATAAATCGATTAGACAGAATAAAAGACGGCTATAAATTCAAAGTCCTCCAAACGCGTAGAATCGCGTTTCAAGTAGCGCATTTATTTTTTACCTATAGATATAAAGCAGAAGTGATCTAAGAGACAAGATAATAATCGACATTTTTTATATAATATCTCTTGGCAAATTCTTCGTACGATTACGTGAGCAAACTCGGATCTTTATCTCTTGCATGTGTGCAATAGTTCTAGAGAAACAATTTTGTTTTAGTTAATTATATTTTTTTTATTCAATCTTCTTTACGCTATTTAAGTAGCATGACTTAATTGTAACATGTAATTTTAAATGACGTATATTACCATGTATTAAATTTATCAAAGATCTTGTAAAATCTCTCTCTCTCTCTCTCTCTCTCTCTTACTTTTCTATAACAATTGGTAGTTTTCGACGATTCGAGTCAACTGTTGTTGCATTTCATGTTGCGCAAGTATCGTTCTTGCGTCTTCTCGTTCTCTTCATATTGAAGAGCTTTGCATTTGCATATAATGCAGAACGAAGTACGTGCCGATTTGCATCCGAAACAGGATTGACTGTGACTCTGCAAATCTTCATCTTCTTTTCTTTTTTTTATTCTCATTTGTTGCCCTTCTCACTTTTTCTTTTACATTAACCTTCGTTTTCTTCCCTTATGAGTCTTAACAACTCGTTTTTCCTTTTCTTATTATTGTCATCTTTAGTTAGCTCACAAAAAAATGAACAAAGCGCAAAAACAAAATTTTTTAATGAACTTAATAAACTCTTTAAAATGATCTTATATTACCTATATTATGAATACTGGCTCAAGTCTTATGCTTGCTGAGAAAAAGTCACATGGGACTTCTCTCAATAGCAACCTATTAACGACCAAGAACGCATACGCACTTGTATAAATTATAACATCTATATGTCTCAGGATAGAAAAACAGTCGATCTATAAATATATCTTAATTACAACAGATGGTACATCTATTACATCTATTCATCACGCCAGCTGCGCACAATTGCATAATAGAATCGATCGCTTACATGAGAGGTATTGTCGTTTGCATGAAAAGAGACTTTCGGCATTTATGAAATTTTTGGATCAGCTTTTGGAATTGTCAAGAACATCTTTCAGATATCAGAGAAAGAATGAAATCGTGAACGATTGAGATATAATTATTGATAATCGCAGACACGTGATTGTCACTCTTGATACATTTGCGCGCTTGTAATTTGACTCGACAACTTCTACAACAGCTAATGATGAATATGCCAAATGTAGCATCAGAGTATTAATCAGAAGAATACGAAAGATGAAAGAAGCATCCTCGGCGTATAAAAATAAGAAAGTGTGGAGAATAATTGTGCCGAGAAGTAGGACGTCCAAATAAATTGACAAGTTTATGTCAAGGACCATAATATAAAATAAAGAAGCTTAACATACAACTCGGGAGAATTAACAAATTTCAATTAATTTCATTCTTTATACAAAGCTTACTTTTTTAAAACAGTGAGGGGGGGGGAACATAGAATCGGCATCTGAAAAAAAGATTATTCAATTTCTGGGGCACATCCGCGCCGCTGGCCGTCGGAAAGTGAAATATCAAAAGGGCGATGTACAAGAGTTGAATAAAAGTGAGCGCTAATCTCTCTCTTCTCTCTCTTCAGCTTGTTCGAGTAGGTTGTCAGAAGCCTCCGGGGCACAGTTGCACCATCTCCGGAGTTAGACCCCCTTGGGCGAACCGACGGCCTTATTTACCCTTCCATTACGCGGGGTCCAGGCGGCCCACACTCATTTGCAAGACGCGCAGATTGAAAGAACAAGGATATATAAGAAAAGAAATATATCAGGAAAAATTTGTCTATAAAAGAAACAATTATACGACAAAGAAATATGCTTGAAAATTAGTTGAATCGATCAATCAGAAGGCTATTCATCTCCTCGCGATCGTGTCGCGTGAATTCTGATTGTATTAATACAATTGTATTACTACAAAGGAGACTGCTCTTCACAAAGTCGACCAAAGTTATTCGCCGAAAGTTCGTGTGTCGACACATAACTATAAATTGTTTCGAGGACGAGGTCAGTTTGCGAATTCGAAAGGATAAGCCACGCATGATTTAAGGATAATCTTCGTTTCTTAATTCTCGTCTATTTATCCGTCTCAATGAACTAACTCCTCGCAACGTTCGTCCAAAATACATTTATTTTAAGAATTAAAACAAAACGTGTAAAAGAAATATGTTGCAAGGATTGAAACGTTGAGTGTTTCAATAAATATCGCGTTAAGCTACATACAAATTTAAAAATTTTTTAAAATTAAAACGTTCGATTTTGACTTTCATCATGACCAAAACTTTAATCAAGTAAGATTCCACTTTTTTGTTTATATTCAACAACACAGTTACAATGAGTTGGTGTGATGACATTTTTTAATTAATATATTGAAGATGACTCAAGTAGGGTCGAAACGTTTATGTAATTAGTTAATTTTCTGCGGATTTATATTTCTGCGTTATTGTATCTTTGCGAATTAATTGATATTTTGTTAATAAAGAACTTACATTGCTCGTAAAACAGACCTATGTTTGATTGTTAATTATTATTTTAAAAATTAAATTTAAATTAATATTTTTTAAGAATGTAAAATAGAACATATAGAAAAACTTTGCAAAGTGTTATGATTACATATATGTAAAAGACTGCGACATAGACATATAACAGAATAGAAAGGTTTCTTGCGTGGACTTCCCTGATCGTGTAATTTCGTAATGATGCAATTTGGATGATCACTACTGATACGAATTAATCACAGGCGGGAATCGCATCAAGTCGATTGCTATGTGATCGATAGAATATCCGATTTCAGTTTTCTAATTCAATCGAGTCGTGATTAAAGAGATTACTTTGTTTTACCGACCATTATCTTATCTTCTTTCTCTTTTATATTGTGATTGATTGAAATCACATTCCTAAACGTTTTACGTAAGCAAATCGCGCTTTTTTGTATGAAAAATATTATTCTCGATTCTTGTAACATACGCAGTTTTACTTGAATATTATTTGAGACGTATATTAATACAAATGCAACAACTTTTATTCTTAGTTAAGAAAACAATTTACTCAAAGTTTACGAAACAAAAATAAGAACGGTTTAAACACAAGTTTAGATTTTCTTGCTTGTATATATTTTTAAGTCTAAGATGTTTTGTATGTTTAATTATGTTATAGAAGCGTGACTTATATTCTAAATAATAATAAAATAATTCACCTGCGCCAAACTTGCCACTGCAAGACCGAAAGTAAACGCAATATGCAAAACAGACGGCGACTTTGCGGTTATCCACGTGATGCAGGAAGCGCAGCCGATAAAAACTAGCAGGAACGTGCCCAAAACCTCAGCGAACAACATCAGCAAGAAGTCAAGCTTTGTGACTTCCTCTAAGCCAACAAACTCCTTTACACCTATAAAAAGAAATGAAAAGAGTCGGGTCAATTATAATGTAATTTATTTGTTCAGAAAGTTTATCAAATTAAATGTAAATTTTGTTTTTATATCTTGAAATTTTTTAAATTAATTTTTTTAAATTTATTTCAGTAATTTTTTTTCGAGTGAGATAAAAAAGGATTAAGATGATGATCGAATACAAGAAAGAAACCGACGCTCTTATCAAAATATCAAGAGTAAAAAACATATGTTCAATTATTGCTGTTATGAAGTGCAGTGAAGTGGATTACATAGTCGTGTGATTAAAAGACGCGATTAAAAGGTTGATCTCTGATAAAGCGTGCAAAAATATATGTCTGATATCAATTAGAAATCAAAGGAAAAGACGTTTTCAAAAGTTTTTTCATTTTGTGAAAAATATGGTGAAAAACATGATAGTAGTTAAGTGTTACGGGTAGCAAGAGAAGATCACGAGATTAAGTTACTTGTGTGATTTACTATCCAGCCAGTAAACAACGCATATCGTTCTTATATATGCATTGTCACGACAAAGTGTTACCTTGAATTTTTTTCTTTCTACACAATGTTATATCGACTATTTCTTGTCTTTTTCATTATTCAAATAAATATATCCAGAAATAAAATATGTAAAACTAGAAGTAATAAATCTTTTACATATCTAATTATTATTATTATTATCAATAAAGTTTTAGATAAAATTATACGAACTGTGCAGTTGTCTGCGAATACACATCAACCAAAATTTCATCTTGCAAGTTCTTATTTTCGTAATTTTCTCATTATAATAAAAAAACATGTAACTGCTAATATCTTTTTCTTCAACTCTCACATACCTTTCAATGTTTTAATCATGATTGCTACAAAACAAACGCTGGCTTTTGATTATTTCCGGTGTGTATGTGTGTCACCCCTTTTAACTTTCCTCAACAATCTCTTCGAGAACGAAGAGTTTTTCACGATACGAACACTAGTCTGCAACTTCCGAAAGCTAATACTTTCAACCTTTTCACTTTCGATCGGATTAAAGATACGTGGGGATGAAACAAACTTAAAGAAGCGAGTTGAAAAGAGTGAGAAAAACGGAGGACCAGCACTTCCTGCGGCTACCGCGAGCGGTGCACCACGTGAGGGACTTTCTGGACGATGTGTGCGCGAGTTTCGCCTTCATATATCGCTTGCGTTCACCGACCGGCAACAAGGGGCCTCCCTCTCCATACGCAATTCTTATGCGGGCCTTCTGCTATCTCTTCGGGACCGCTCGTTCGAAAGCTCATTGAGGAAGGAAGAAGAGGAGAACAGGGTATAATTGTGTCGATCCTGTCGCTCTCGATCAGTCACAATCGCCGTACGCGTCCTTGCGCGGATTAAATGCGAAAACTCTTGCAACTTAAGTATGAATTGCTTCGTTCAAGTAATTTTGTATGTCGTTAAAAGTAAAATTGTCTATTAAGGAGTTCACTCGCTAATTTCATTTACTATATTATGAATTACATCAAATATTTGATGTAAATTTGCAGTTAAAATTTTATGCCATGTCTGTAAACAATGAGCGATACACTGTCATTCCTCTTTATCACTTGGCGTTTATCAACGCTACTTACAAGAGATAAGCATTGCGGAGGTTCGCGGGTCTCTTGACAGAACGCAACCAGACAGTAATTAAACGCTATTAATTGGATCGTTACGCAGACGCGACTCTCTGCGTAAATAGCTTTTGCAGTTAGCGCATAGCTCGTTCGCATCAAAATAATTACATATGTGTCGTTTATACATATATACGTAACGTGCAATAAATTGGCCACGTGCGAACATGTTACACGCTATGTTGCGTGTATTGCATCTCGTTCTCCTCCCGATATACTTCAATGGCATTTAATAAAATTGATCGCACACGTATCAATTCGAAGATTGATCATAGATATAAGATGGGCCTAATGTTTTATTTGAAAGCCTCCTGAAAGTAAAGTTCGGAAGGTGTGGCCGAAATCCGACGAGCGACGTTAATGTAAAAGTGTGTTATCAATTATTGGATCGATCTGTATCGCATCATTACGCCATCCGAAAAGAATTTCTCATTTGAGTGAATCAGTTTGAATCGTGAAGTTATGGTGAAATTGTATTTAATTGTTTCTCAGCCACTAAACGCGACAGAATTATTTAACTTACTGTCACTCGAAGTTTACTTGTTACGTACAGATAATAAATGCGTGCGAGCGTGTGTCGTAATACGTTACACATGCGAAATTAAACGAAGAAGCAGATAGACACACCGCGATAACGCGAAGGATGATTATTTTCCAAGAATAGAAGAAAGAAACACGCGGAATTGTGCAATTTGCAGAATTCGCACTCGACAGTCTGCAGAAAATTATACATCTCCGGAGCAAAACACATTGTAACATTTTAACGACGCATCGTGATCGAAGAATCACTTAGCGTAACCGATGATATCATTGATCGTTCTCCATATAATAACTCGCTTTTTCAGTTTCCGCGCGCGTATCTAATCAACGTAATTGTCATTCAACTATGTTTTTCCTTTAAACGCGATGCTTCTGGCAACGGAAAGTTTTGGCAAGATTATTATTATTATTTATCAATATGAATATAAATTCGGGTAATCAAGTCAAATCAATGTGCAAATATTTCGTACATTATGTTCATAAATTATGTCTTTCAAAATTACATCTTTAGCAGTCCGTCAGTTTGATTAATTGCTCTTTCGACTTACTGGCATCGCAAAACATTCTTTATCATTGTATTTAGATAACTGTGTACAATATCTGTACAATTTTTATCTTTCTCGTAAAATAAATTTTACACAACACTTGTGTGGTTTTGTATAAATTCTAAATCTTTAATATGTATTTTTTTTTGTCTGTTAATGTGTGTCAACACATCTGTCAACATATATTTATTTAAAAAGAATTATTTTTGTTCAAGATACTATTTCTAACAGACTTTTATGTTAAACAAAAAGAAAAATGATAGAGATATAAAATTATAAGGAATGCGTTTTTTTTGCATAAAACGATGAAAATCGACGATAGGTAAACATACGTTGTCGTTCGTCATATTATCGCGACGATTATCGAGATCGTTGAGGCACAATTTCAAGAATAACGTATAACACATTAAACGACCGATACTAATCGCGCACGGAAGCCGCTAGCACCGTGCGAGTTAGCGGAGAACACTATAATTGTCGACGCATAGAAAATGAGGTACGTCATCAACGCTACGGAACGCAGAATTTTCCGGCTTACATGGTTCGTCGCTTCCGCTCGCGATTAAGATAGAAATCGATTTGTCGAATATATAAAGTTAATCTCTTTGAATGAAAAAGATTGAAAAATAAAAATAAAAACATCTGATAAGATGTGTCAAAGTAAAAATTCGAAAATTTGAATTAGTAGAGAAGAAAGTAATATGATTTTCCATTTATATGTCAGACAACGCATTTTGCAAGTAATATCTTTACCAAAAAACTGTTTTTTTTTTCTAAATAAATAATATATAGAATGTATATAATATATAATATAATATAATAAATATATAATATAAGAATAAATATATATAATAAAAATATGTAATATAAAATATGCAATATTCAATACAAAAAACTGAAAAAGTAGACTTACGACGATATCGTTCCAAGTCGAAACCTTCTTCTTCTTTTGGTATCGGAGATACGTGACGCTGAGGTCGCTCATTGTCCACATATCTTTCGGGGAACACCGTAGACACGTTCATTCCAGGTTTCTGCGATTGTAAGATTTAATTGGTATTAATCTTTGACTTTTGAATAAGTCAGCGGTTCTTTCTTAACTGTTTTTCTTATTTTTTTTTCTATTTTGTAAAATCGTTATTCTTTCTCTCAAAGGATAAAACTTTTTACTCCGACAAAATCTAAAATACTTCGAATGTTTCAAACTATACTAAAAAATAAAATATTTTAAATACTAAAAAGTAAAATATTTTTTTCTATCATGTATCGTTACTTTTCCACTCCAGTGATCCACTCCAGTAAAACTTAGCTGGTTCCTCTTCATCATTTCAATGTAAAACGAATATAGATAACACAAATATAGATAAACGAATATAGATAATATTGCAAATAAAAATTCGTATTACACAGAAAACAATGCAATAATATAATTTGACACACACAAAAAATTTAGATTTATTGTATTTTATATACAATCGGAAATTCGAACAATGTCGATTCAAATTACTTCACGCGCGATTGGATCGTCTGTCACGATGCGACTGCGTTCTTTTCTGATTGTATTAGCGTAGTTGTTAATTTGTTGTATAAATTCGATGTGTTAGCGTGTCTTCGTCAATTTTGTTATGAACCAAGAAGTTCAATTGAAAATATCAAGAAAAGAGAACTTAGAAGCGATTGAAAAAAAAGGATTGAAAACTCTGAAATAATTTAAGACTTCACAACACACACGTAAACGTGTAATTATCTAGTATAAATTCCATAAATCGTATCAAAAGGTTATATGCAAATGTGGCTCGACCACGACTTATAATATCTTAGCTGTAAATCCTAAAATAAAGTGACATATATATCGCGAGATAAATTTTGGCTCGCGACTCACAATCAGATACGCGCGATAAAACGTTCGCTGTTATCATTACATCATACTTATCTCGACCGCGTCATAGTTTACAAAAGCAGCGTTTGAACAAAAGATTGTTAGCTATATCTTATGTAAGAAGTAATAAAATGCGAAAGTAATAAAACTCGCGACCAACTACATGCGATGTTGGTGAATAAAAAGCCCACCTACTCTCTTATTTATAATTATGTATTGAATTTGTTTATGCAGGATTTTTTCCCGAGTCTTTTATTTCTGAATTCCACAATTCATCCGTTCCGTTTTCGTTATGTATTTCAAGTATCGCAGTTTTAAATCTCGCTTTCAACATTAAATTTGACTTAATCACCGATTCTTATCAGCCAAAAATTCTAATGAAAAAGGTAACTCACCCCTAGACGACGGCCAAATTTTCTGGCAGCCGAATTAAAGACCAAAAACTCGCGCCACAAACTTATGTAAGAAGTTTTCTTGTCTCGTGGACGTTGCATCCCCAGGCGGCCAAGCTCTACGACCCACGAGCCCCACCACCTGCCAGCCTTTTTGATCATTCACCCCACCACGAAAAGTTTGCTCAACTGTGCCAAGTTACCCTCACACGTGTTTTTGTAAGCACCAGGACTAATCACTGCGAAAGCCACAATAAGGGAGAAGGCACTGAAGAAATCCCCGATCGCACTCTTGTCGCTCAATGTGGGGATGGTAACAATGGCGGTTACAACCTTGACAGCGACCTCGCGAAGTTGCGTGTCGTGTCTGCCAATAACGTTTTGGTTGCATAGCTCTGCTTGCGTTGTCATTAATATTGTCATCACGAGTTTTATCGCTAAAATAGACAAAAAATTAGAAAAGTTATCTTTGAAGTGCAAATCGCATTGTTGAAAATATACTCGAAAATATACTTGAAATATACTCAAAAATATACTTGAAAATTTTTGTTTTGTTTTTTTTCTTCCAACCTTTGACCTTTCGTACAAGCAGTATCACGACTGTTACAAAGAAGGGTCACTTATCAAGGTTACTGATAAGATCCTACTACTGAGATTTCCGACCACTTCCGATCATCATTTGCAAGAGCCAATTATTCTTGTAGTTTGCTTAGATTTCGTCTGCGATATCATTCACAACAAGATTTGCAATTTTCACAGCGTTAACAACACGGAAGTGACTTTGTCTTCTTCGAATAAAGTCAAAACTTATTTAATCATAACTGACTAATTAACTTTTCTGATATTAAAAAGTTGAGTTCAGTAGATTAATCTTTTCTTAATATTAAATAAACGAATAATATAATGTAATTTTGTTTTCTATCTTTTCTCTTTTTTTTCCTCAATTAAAAAGAAATAATTGCAATGTTGTAAAATTATTATAAAACATTAAAATGCTTTATAATGTATTTCTCAAAAATATTGCAGGATTACAAGGCTTACCGAAGAGATAGCTTCGTTATTTGTTGCTTCAAGACTCCCGCGCGATTCTTCCTGGTGTTCTATTTCGCAGCCGTTAACACTGACATTACAATGATAGTGAGCTCGCGTGCAGATAACACCGCGACAATTAGCATACGTGAGGTCAGCTGATGGTCGCGCGGTGAACACAGGAGAACGTCATACCTGCAGTTTCTTGCACTCGCTATCCATAACGATCGGTTTGCGACGCACAACGCTATAGAAAAACCTGCGGAAACAATTTACTATTGCATATATTAATGCAATATCAAACTGTCACGTACCAATGCTGTTAAAGTGAATCATCAATATTTATAAAAAAAAACGTCAATATTTGTTCACATTTATTCATCAATAATTTACCAAAATTGCGCATAATTTGTGCCATATCTCGGAAATACCTTTCAAATAATACAAATAAATTTATTTTTTTCAGTGAACGTACATGGTGCATGTATTATTTTATTTCAATTTAACTTTTCTCATTGCCGCGCAATTTGGAGGGAATAACATCATTTTTATCTCGCATACGCGTTTATACGTCCTATTTTCGAATATTAAAAAGGAGAGTAATATCTAACAGTTCAGTTGTTTCTTACCGATTATTTTTAAAATTTGATGCGAAATAAACAATCTTGCAAGTGTATTAATTAATTCCGTGAGGTAATCGATTGAGTGAATCGATCAAAAGTGATCGCGAATTTAACTGAAGTATTCGACCCTGGTGGTATACATTGGAACTACGTTCACGAACTTTTTCAGTCGGTATTTTACATCTGGTTCTGTTCCACGCTATGCTCATGTTACATACCAGAGAGAAGACTAAGAGCGCCCATCCTATTGTAGTTTTTTACGACGATTTCAGCCGTTGGTTTTAGCGCCATATCCACAAAAGTGGATCTCAAAGCCCGTTCCACATTAAACGCAAATAGCAGGTCTCGTGGAACTGATCAATCACGTTGGTTGATTGGCTGACTCTTCGATTGGTCAATTCCACGAGATCTGCTACTTGCGTTTAATGTAGAACGGCCTTTGAGATCCACTTTTGTGGATACGGCGCTAAATGCAGCGGCTGAAATCGTCGTAAAAAATTACAATAGGATGGCCGCTCTCAGGTTTCTCTCTGTACACACACATAGTTTTATAAAAATTAGAATAAAATGCATCTAGATCGCTGTATCGCAGTGATAAAAGATGAAGAAACAAAAAGATAAAAATGTATATTTCTATCCTTATTCCTCTATCCATTCCTATTCTTTATTAATTAGAATTATAGACGGAATAACACACATTGACTTGATCTTAACTTTACTAATTTTTATGTTCCACTCTTTTGCCAACTTCGGAAATTCGTTTTTTTCGATAAAAACGACCGGTTTGCAAAAAACAAAAGCTATCTATATCTGTCACTAGTGACACTTTCGCGTGCGAGATCGCACAGATCTTTCAGGCCTGTCTCAATTCAAAATTTTCGTGCATAATGGCAAATTAATCTACCCGGCTCTTCGTCAAGTGCCGGCTTTGTCATTGCCTATAATGGACTATTAACATTATAATTAAGTCTTCGAACATGAAAAAATATGAGATCCATTATGTGAGCGCTAACACAAATCGCGCCGACCGAAAAGAAATCTATCCTTCAGAGATTCGAGAAGAAATACATGCACGTTTATGAGGTTTTCTATATTTTTCACAAATTATTTAATTATATTTAAATTTATATTTTAAATTATCATCTTGATACAAGCAATATATTGTAACGCAAAGTGTCAAGAAATTAAAAAATGGCAAGCCGACATCCGCGACCCGGACCTTCGGGTCTCACAAAGACGCAGCAACTACGGCAAGCAAAAAGTGCCGCTCTGATGAGAGAATATGAACGCAAACGAGAGGCGGGTAGACAGCCACCGGTTGCGGAAACTGTCAAAGTGAAGACGAAATATCGCGCCGAGCCGAAGAAAGTCGAGTTTACTAAACCCGCAATGACGAAGACGATGCTAGCGCGAGTTAAGCATGCGGAAAAATTTAAACAGGAATACGAGCGCAAACGGGAAGAGACGATGCCGCTGCGAAGAGTACCACGAAGAACACCCGCGCCGATCAGCGGCGATCCTAGGTAAATTTTATATAATTCTTTTGTATAGTTTGTGTTTTATAGTTTCTTTTTATTTCTGTAGACTTGGCAGGGAGAGGATACGCGCTCCCCCGAGACGCATGCCATCTCCGCCGAGACCAAGAAGACCTGTACCAGAGCCACTTCCAGAGATTCCAGAAAAGACGAGAGAACTGGCAAGATCGATGAACGCACAAGTGATTCAGGCCGAGCCGGTTGGCGAAGGTCTGATTGATAGTGTTATAATACCGCCAAATACGGTGAGCGAAAATCGCACCACCATTGTTAGCATCCCTCAACCCATGGCCGAAGCGCCAATATCTGAAGTGGCGAACCGTTCGATTCAAGTCATCAGGTGATGATAAAGTGATAAATATTTTGACGAGAATGTGTTTTACTTACATAGATACGTCAGAATAAAATTATTTTCTCGTTGAAATCAAGAAGTTCTTACCTTTCTCTTTATCCTCTCGAGTCCTTCCTTGAATTTCTCAAATAATTTCTAATTAATCATCATGTCTTACTCGCTCGTGTAGCGAAACGCTCGACGAGCAAGACGCGGCGGAAGCAGCTACTGTACAAAACAAGTTGGAAGACTTGCAGCAAGCGAGACGAGGTTTTGTCATGGCCGTGGCGAATGTCGGCGGCAATGCTGTGCAACTCGCCGAAGAAAGGCCTAGATACATTTACAAGTGAGATCGACAAGTTGTTGAAATTTCTGCTGATCTTAAGAAAGGATTCTGGTCTAGCGGGCCAGAAAAATCGATTTTCTTGTTCAGCTCTTACATAGCTTTGCGGAAAATTGGCTTACATTAAACAATCTTCAATATTTTTGCATAAAATTTTAAAGTCAAGTACTTAAAGCATAAATAAAATGCTCTATATCGCATTTTAAACTTTGTTTTTTATTCATCATATTTAATTCAAAAAAGTTCTAAAAATTATTTTGCTTTTGGCGCCTTAGATCAAAATCTTTCTTTAAGACGTGATGTCATCATTTAATGCAGAGTCCCGGACATCGAGAGCGAGATGTTTCGCATCGAGTACGGGAGAGAACATCCGAGTGTTGTAGCGGCTCGAGAATTTGCACAAAGAAGCATGGCCGGTATTAGAGAAAGAGAGGAAGCTCGTAGACGCGAGCAAGAGTTTGAGAGAATTGCCAGAGAACCGTTACCGGAAGATTTGCGTTTCGACGTTCCGTTCGAGGAAGAGTTTTACCGCGAAGGCGACATATCCTGGGAAGAGGAAGGTGACATACCGCGCCCGTCCAGAATAAAAGCTTCTTTGCGCGACTTACCGAGACGCGATGAGCCTTACGAATATCCTACTTTCGACCCCGAGGAGCTCGAGAGGTTTTTCGACGTGGAACGATATCCAATTAGTCCGTACCGTGGACCACCGCCTGGTCGCGAGCATCTTCATCCTGATCTCTGGGAGCTGGAAGATCCTTGGGCCATGTATGGAGTTCGTCCGCAGGAAGACGTGTCCGATCTCATGCGTTTCGAAAGTTCTTAATCTTTTACCTACTTACATGAGCCGCATCTACTAACATAAACAAGACTCAATCAAGAAAAGAGATCTATATCCATCTATAAGTTTTAAGAATTTACAGTCCGTCCATATGCAATATTTGTTGTAAATTAAAATTATCTTGTACATAATTTGCAAAATATACCATACTGTATAGTGATTAAATGCTTCTCTTGAAATGTTGGTTTTTTACTTTGCAAAAAGTAAATTAAATATTCTGAAGTCTTTCGAGTCTTGTTTTAATACTTCACAATTCTTTTGTCCAACTGCATAAAGATGCACTTATGTCTTTAAGAGTTTAAAATCGTCTGATAAAAAATTTTATCTATTTATTAAAAGATCACAAATAAGACAAGTACTTATTGCTTCAACTTATTTTGAGTGTATTATTATATAATTATTTTGGAAATGGAAAAGTAGTGTTTAGTTTGGCATTCTTTAATAACGTAATAGACTGACGTTGACACCCTGTAATTTCGTGCGCCTTGCGACTTGAGTACCGAAGAATCGATTGTATTACTTAGTATATAGCATTATACTATGTAGTCTTTCTGTAGCAAGCAAAACACTATCATGCTGAAAAACTTTTTGCGGGAGTACAATCTTAATCGAATATTCTTGTCAAACATAGGTCTTTGGCCATTTCAAAAGAAATGTGTGAGAACTTTGTTATACACTTTCTGCTTCCTGCTCGAACTGAGTTACTGTCCATTCGAGGTATAGATATCGGTCGATATGTTGTATAATATGAAGAAACACGTCCAATTAGTAATTAAAAAAATTTTTTCTCATGCTCTCTATTGTTTTACTAAATAAACGTTATCTTACAACATACAATATGTATGTGATCAACGTGACACACAGGTATTACTGTTGTACGATCATTGGGACGATACACAAACAATATTTGAAGGCGGCTATCAAATTGTCATGTTAGTCTCTTTTTTTGTAAGATTACTAAATGAATTTTGGAATCGCAAAAAGGTATGGTTTTGTTTTCTAAGAAACTGCGACACGTTATCATTATGTAAAATAACGTTGAAATTATATTTCAACTTTTTCTAATCTAATATAAATGCTTGTTTATATGTTACTGTGATCAGGTGATACAATTATATCAAGTCATCGACAATCATTGGAACATATTTACAAACGATATAGAAGTTCGAGTGTTGAAAAACTATTCTATGCTGTCTAGAAAATTTACAAAATACTATTCGCGTGAGTACATTACGTTAGTTAGTGCAGTAAATAAATTTCTTGTATAACACACAAACACAGATTTACTATGTTTACATATCTTTGATTGCAGTGTTAATGTACAGTATGATGTCGGGATTTATAGTAATACCGTTAAAACCTGTATTCTTAGATATTATACTACCTCTTAATGACACACGTCCCCGATTTCTCGCTTTTGAAGTTGAATTTAGAATCAATACAGATAAATATTTTTTGCTTTGTTTTGTGTATACTACTGCGATAACTATTGTGGGTATAAGTATCATGGTAAGCGTTGATGCAATGCGAATTGCTTGTACCGCTCACGCGTGCAGTTTATTTATGGCTGTCAGGTAAGTGTGACACATATGATATTATGCGTGCATACCACATAACAATAGATAACGTATCTTGAAATATTTTAAACTTCATTTTACGCAGTCAACGAATAGAAAGTATAATCATGGAAGTAGATAGTAACGAAGAACCTGGTAGCTATAAATATCGCAAACTAACAAGTACGGAATTTGAATTGAAAGAGAAAATAATGTATCAGGAATATATCGACTGTGTAAAAAAACATCAGCTTGCTATAGAGTAAGCAGTTCTGTACAATCGTTACCGATTACAATTTTTATTTCTTAAACTAGAGAGAAAATATATATCAATATTATCTCTGATCTTTTTAGATTTGTTAATATGATGGAATCGTCTTATCAAGGGCTTTCTTTATTCTTGTTGTTATTATCTATTGCAACTATAAGTTGCATTGGAGTTCGAGTAAGAACATTAAGAAATATATAGTGTAATATCCGATATGTTCAAATATAATATTTTGTAAAGAATATAATTGTTTTAATCAATACTAATATGATATTTATCAATACTAATATAAGAGTTAATATTAACTTTCACATATTATTAGATTCTCTACGTGTTGGATCAACTAGGAGAAGCAATAAGATTTGCTTTTATAATAGTGGGGGCGCTGTTGACTGTATTAATTCCGTGTTACTCCGGTCAAAGATTAATAGACGAAAGTCAGAATGTATTTTATCGAGCGTAATTATTATGTTATATGCTATGTATAATGTGTATATTAATATATGCACACACACACACACACATATGTATATTGACTAGAAATGTCCAACCATTAAAAATTGGACAAAACTTGATAAAATTCGAAGTTTTTTATTTGAAAACAATGATTTTTTTATATAATATATAATCTGAGAATTTATCTGTATTTAAAAATTAATCTCTAGAATTAATTAGAAATAGTTTGATCGTGTATTTAATTAATTATAGCATTTATTCTCCTAGATACGCGGCTGACTGGTATAATTTTTCGCCTAGACTAAAATCTCTATTGATGATAACACTTTTCAGAAGTAATATATCCTGCAATTTAAAAGCAGGTAATATGATTCCGTTATCAATATCGACTTATGCGGCGGTGAGTGTAAGAAAATCGTAAAAATTATTTATGTTTGATTTTGATTTTTGACAAATAACTAATTTTTCTGTTCGATTTAAGGTGATACGAATGGGCATGTCTTATTTTACAGCGTTTGTATCATTGAAAGATTAACCATCGAATTGTTGTTTTTTGGATCTCTATCAAAGTTTAAAGATATTTATGTTATTTATCTGATAATGCTATAGTGTTTAGAATTTCGTTTAATTAAATATTATAAATTTCTGTATTTAATTTCTCTATTTATACTTAATATAAAAAGTGATTTTTAGCCACACTGTCTTCCCTAATATATTATTGTGTGTAAGTATTTTAATAAAAATTAAAAAAAATCCTCTTAAGGCGGTACTGGATACCGACTATAGAAACCTGTAAACCGACGTTTTTATAACCTAAATTTCTTTATTTTTTAATTTTATTTAATGCACAACATTAAAAGCGCTTCTACAGAAGCAAATAAATATACAAAACTATATAAAGCTTTTGAAAATGGGTATATAATGCTTTTTTGAACTTGTTTTTCATTCATAATGATAGTATATGATATCAAATACACATCATCACGAAATTAGGTTTCTCTCATCAATGAGATAGTCAAATCATAATTTGAATAGCTCATTCGATTTGTTTTTGTCGTATGTTGAACGCTCTTTCTCTGAAAATGCTTATATAAGCTTAGAAATAATTCTACATATATGAATATATGGTGAGGTTATAGGAAGAAACTGTATAAGAAAAAATTTGTGCCTAATTTTGACGTTCCAAAGAACAAGCGCCAATTCTTAGCACTATTTACTTATTTCTGGAGAAGCATTTTGGATTTGATGCAGTAAATACGACACAGAATCTGATTTAAGAACGTCGGTTTACAGGTCGCTATAGTCGGTATCCAGTACCCTCTTAAGAGGATGCTGAACCAGCGGCTTAACAGCTACTTTGCTGCTACGCTGTAGATGGTGTTCTCTATATAAGGATAGACGTATATCTCTTTTCTTATCTCTCGTTCGATTTGCCTATCTGATAGTGGAGGAGATATGCACACGTACGCGACTGTATGCTTGTGTGTGCGTAGGTATCCTACTATCGTATATGCTTCATTAAAAGATCTAACTATTCTCGTAAACTAGATGATAAAATCACATTCTGATTGTTCCATTATATTCTTTTATATCATCCGCTTCTCTGTCTGGTGCCTGTATGGTTTTGCAATGCTTAGAAATTATTTAAAAATAAAAAAATATGATCAAGTAATAATAGGCAAGTGTAACTTTTGGTTTTTTTCTGTAGTCAAAGAACTAGACAGAGATGTGTTTCTTTACGTTTGGAGAAGCGTGTTTGATTTGAATCAGTAAATAATGAGATTAGTTAGTTCTACTAAAATGACATATCCCGTCGGTATAATAGGACGCTTCAGCATCCTCTTAAGCACAATGCAAAGAAATAGCGATAGCGATAGGTGATAGACACAAAATTCCAACTCGTCGGAAATTTTATCGCCTATTCCGTTTTCTGATCTGCATTGATATGTGTATATTTTTAAATGTTAAATTCCGCTGTACCTACCGTTATTTATATGTATAAACCTTATAAAACCGGTGTTATTTCTATCGCTATCGCTATTCCTTCCATTGTGCAAGAGACTTTAGCATAGTAGAAGAGTTATTTGTCTCATGCGTTTCAATCTCTGCAACTTTACTTGAAAGCTTTTTGTTGAAGATCAGGTTTCCTGCAAAATTTTCTCAAAAATACTAGGAAAACGAGATCATGTATATTATAAGAATAAAATATGCGCCCGTAAAACAATGCATATCTTTGTATAAAGTTTTGCAATGCTAAATCAGCTAAGTTCAAAAACGCTGTTAATCAAGAGGCACGGTAGTGCCTCGCGCCAAGCTCACGCGCAACGAAGTGGCGCTCGAACTGCGCGAGCACACTGTGCCTCTTATACGCGAAATTCATGCAATTGAGAAGTGGGGAGATTTTCTCGGGGCAATATTTCAAGAACGACTATACCAATCACTTTCTTTTTAGTCTCAATCGATTCAAAATAAAACAGTGTAAAAAAAAGTATTATTGCGTTTTTTTGGTTTATGACTTCTAAACCGAGATAATGGAAGAGAAACAAAATGTGTATATAAAATCACGTAAGAAACGTCATTGTCTCCGCTAGACACTGGAGCGTGCAGTTTCATCATGTTCCCTACAGACGGCATTACTAGCGTGGAAG